ACTGTATAGCCCAGGCTGGCCTCCAACTCGTGGTAATCCTTCTGCCTCAGCCTCCATGCCTTTCACACCTATGTACAAGAGCTCCTTAAGAGACTATAACTGCAAGTGGGACTGTGGGATCGAACATTGTGGAGTGTGTTCATTCTATTAGCTATTGTTAAATCGCTACACAGAGCAGTTCTATTAATTTTCACTCCCACCACCAGGGCGTTGCCAACTGGCACTGCTAACAGACAACGCTCGCACCTTTTTATTTACACTTTTGGATCCCAAGTGAGTGTGAGCAAATTTTCCACACTTATCAGGCAGTCTGCTCTGGGAACTGCTTCTTCCTTTCTATGGGGCAATTTCTTTTTCTAATTAATTTGAGGAAGTTCTTTGCATCCCGGATACAAGTCTTTTGTCATTTGTGGGGATTTCAAACATTTTTTCCTGTCACTTTTTAAATGGTGGTGCATGTTTCCAGCACCTGGGAGGCTGAGGCAAGAGGACCACTGTGAGTGAAGGCGACCTTGGACTATACAGTGAGGCCCTGCCTCAAAAAAAAAAAAAAAAAAATTAAAAAACATGCATAATTGGTTTTTTAAAAAATTATAAGAATTTCTTAAAAAAAAAAAAAAAAAAAAAAAAAAAAGAGAAAAATATAAAGAAAGAAAAGCCTCTGTGACTTTTGTCTTATACTGAAAAAAACCTTATTTAGAGTTCTATTTTCCACTTTATCACCCAATTAAATCAGCGCTACTGCTTATTGACTGCCTCATTCCCCCAAACCTGTAATTTCCATACTGTCCCGAGCGCATGTCTCCACTGCTCTTCTTTCTCTAGCCTGATGCGGGCGCTGCGGGGACAGAGAGGCCTTTATCCTTCTACAGGTCAGTTGAGCAACCCCAGCTTTCACCCCCTTCGCCAGCCACAGCAGGGTCACAGTCGGTCGGAGGCGGTGGAGCTGATCTGTCGCCCTGAGCAGTGAGTGGCCTCCTGACCTCTGGCCTGGTGGAGAGGAGGGTGCCTGGCCATCCCTGGCAGGGCGGAGGTCACCACTCCTCCGTGACAGCAGGGGCACTGCTCAGGCCCCCTGCTGCCAGCTGCTAGACAGGATGGCTGCTTGGCCTCTCAGTGTGCTTGGGGCTATTTTCATCTGACTGTTTTCCACCTCTTTTTTAATTTTTATTTTTATTTAATTTTTTTGGCAGAACCGGGGATTGATCTCAGGAGGACCTTGCGCTTGCCAGGCAAGTGCTTACTCTACTGAGCCATCTCCCTGGCCCTGTTTTCCCCCTCTTGTTCCCGCCCTGCAGCAGTCACAGCCGCTGTCCTCCATTTTCAAAGCCAGGTGTCAGAAATGTTCACTCACTTTTAAAATTAGGGTTTAAAGTATGCCGCAGGGGAAGTTTAGCATGGGGAATCTCCTAAATCTCGTGTATTTAACGCATAGGCCACGTGGAACTGTGATCAAGTGGCCCAAGAGGAAAATATCTAAATTTAAACAGTATATAAATTTAAGTATTATTTTTTCCTTTTTTTTTTTTTTTTTTTTTTTTTTTTTCCTATTTTGTTTTTTGAAACAGGGTCTTGTTCTGTAGTTCAGGCTGGCCTTGAACTCACAGCTATTTTCCTGCCTCAGCCTCCTGAGTGCTGGGATCACAGGCACCCACCAGCAGCCCAGCTCCAATCTTGTATATCTTACATCTTAGGAAGTAAGATATAAACTCCATTTGGAACATGGAACATAAGTATAACTTTCAAAAGACAAGTAACCCAATAAAAGCACTGAACTAACAGTATGTGGCTAGTCCTTTTCATCTAACACGCACAGCGAATCATTAACTCAACATATGACACTATTAAAGTGATTAAACTGTCCTAGCCTCAGTCTGTGACAGCCATTTCTCTGTAAATTATAATCTTAGAACACTGGTCTGACTTATGGAAATACATTCAGAAATTCTTCCCTGGCTGCAAAGACAATGGGACTCTTTTTAGGTCCTAATTAAAATACCAGGGCAAAGTAATAATCTTTTTATAAATGTATTTCTCATCTTAAATAAGTTCCCTCATTAGGACTCTTAAGAGACTCTTAAATGGCCTGAAGTATCGTCAATGTATAAAAAAATCAAAATATTGTATAGGTTTATTAATACTAGGAAGGACCAAAGAAGGTGAAAAGATAGCCTCTGTGCATTATTTTTAAATTTGTCACTCTAAAATGAAGTCATGTGTACTGGGGCCTCCTACTCATGATGCTACAAGTAGTACTGTATACTTTTTTTTTTTTTTTTGTGGTACCAGGGATTGAACTCAGAACTTTGTACTCGGCAAGCAGGCACTTATACCGCTGAGGTATATCCCCAGTCCTGTACGTATTTTTTTCAAGGCCAAATACAAAAAGGAGAATGACCCCCCCTTCACCCACGGCATGGTCTGCTCATTTTATCTAAAGTTGACACAAGACACACAAACAGTCATCTTTCAGGACATAAAATTTCATTAACAAATTATGAAATTATGAACATATAGACATTTAAAAACTAGGTTTTTTCCTCCTCTCCATCCCCCCACCCCCTTGGGAGGTTAGGTCTTGCTACAATTGCCCAGGCTGGTGTTTAACTCCTAAGCAGGAGGGACCATAAGTGTAGGCCAATATGCCTGACCGTTCCCCAATTCTTTTGAAAAACAAAAGACCTCCACTTTTTTTCCTTCTTACAGCTTTTAAATCACAGGAATAAGAATCACTTTAGTAAAAGAAACTATGAGACATTTGACTGACACTTCTTAAAAGTGAAACTTAATTGCTATGTGTACAGTGTCTGCCCAAGCGTGTGACTATTAATTACCTGAAGATACTCACTTCCATGATGGGACAAAGACACTGGGTAGTCTGGTGGCTCACAGAGCCCCACATACCACAGTCCCTCGTGTGTCTCTGCCTGGGGTCTGCAACCACCCCAGGTTAATGAGAAAAAGACTCCTGTGTGTGCTGGTGGCAACACGTGAGTGACAGCCCACAGTGTAGCGAGGGGAGTAAAGGGAAGAGGACAAAGTGCCTGGGGTCATCAGGCTCTGGAGCACCCCTACCACTTTGCAATGAGCGGCTGAGCACTGTGCCCAGGTGAGAGAGGTCCGAGGCCGCCGACAGAGCCCGGGATGGCCACTGTTAGAGAACTGGGTCACAGGGTGCTGCTGTCCAGAAGAGGGGCATGCAGCTCTCCTGTGGGCTGGATGGGGCCAGGCAGAGGAAAGGAAGCAAAAGTCAGGGGTTGCAGCAAGCAGCCTGGCTCCCCCAATCAGGAGGGCTTCTCACAGAGGCCAGAAGCCATGGAGTCACACACCCTGAAAGGATGCCACAGCTGACTCAGGAAAAAAACAATTACGCACTGTGCTGAGTGTGACCGGTAAAGGCCAGGAACCACTCCTGCCCTCTGGACTAACTTAGGACTTTTCAAACATCCACAATCTTGGGCTGGGGAGATGGCTCAGTGGAATAAGCCCTTCCCTGGCAGGCACAAGGGTTTGAGTTCAATACCTGGTTCTGCAAAAAATAAATAAATAAAATTAAAAAAAAAATCTGCCTATTTCCTATTGGGGCCGGGGAGATGGCTCAGTGGAATAAGCACTTCACTGGCAAGCGCAAGGGCCCGAGTTCAATACCTGGTTCCATAAAAAAAAAAACAAAAAAAAAACCCCACACCCATAATCTCTAGCAGCAAGAGGGCACCCTGGGCACCTAACTTGCGAATCCTGAGATACTGGCAGAGTTGATGTACTATGGAAAGGCAAAGATTATTGTCTTCCCAGTTCTACCACAAGATATGTGCAAGTCAGTCATTTGGCTGTCACTGCTGGGACACAAAAGCAGACTCATCTAACCAGAGATGAACCACAGCTTCTCACAAATAAACTTAGAAAGTTCCTCCCTCAGGTTTCACAGGCTATCTTCCGCTTGTCTGAAAGGGTTACAAAGCTGAATCCTCAGGTGGGCAACATAGCTCAGTGGCACAGCACCTGCCTGGTAAGCCCAAGGTCCTGAGTTTAATAGCTGGTACCAAAAAAAAAAAAAAAATTAATTCCCCTTAAGTCTCTAAAGTTCTCAACTATTAAATCCTTAGCAATGGAAACTTGCTCAAACTAGGTAAAATCCAGAGGTAAGTAAAAAACAATTGGTTACAACTGAGAAAGACAAGATGGAGACTCTCGGATTTCTTGTGCCTACAGCACTGAAATTTCAAATTCCACCAAGCATGCTTAGAGCCATGAGGCAGATCCTCTGCCTACATCAGACACTGTTGGATGTCAAGGAGGACCTGATCCTGGAAATCCAAAGCGGTCTGAGATACGGCTGTCACTTGATGACACCCAGTTACTGGGAGGCCAATTTAGGATTTCTGGATGAAGCCCACGCGGTAAACTTCTGGTGCTTCTCCCTTGATAATCTGGAAGCACAACCCAGCCCTGCTGAAGTGTCTTTCAGGCATGCACTCACTGGGAGAGATCAGTTTGTGCAGTGTGGTGATTCAGTGGTGGGGGGCAGTGCAAATCTCTCTACAACGTCTGTGGCAAAGCTGAAAGAGCTTATGAGTCACCCATTCCATAAGGAACCTTCCACATCAAACAGAAAAAGTTGAATATATTTTAAAAAGATCATGAGGGGCCAGGGAGATGGCTCAGTAGAATAAGCAATTGTTTGGCAAATGCAAGGACCTGAGTTCAATCCCCAGTTCTACCAAAAAAACCCAAAAAACAAAAAACAAAACAATCATGAAATCCATCTGATGAAGCATACCTGATCAAAGTATGAGCTCCTTCTAGTCATTTGATTTTTTTTCCAAATGGCATTTTAATTAACTGGACTTAAAAGTATCAACATGTTAATATAAAGCCTTTCACTGCACAGGCTGGATTCTGTGCCAACACCGCTTTCCTTTTGTGTAACTGCTTCCGATAACATAGCAGTTGGAGCCACTCACTTCCGGGATGGGTCCCGCCACCATGTCGCTACTTACGATCAGCTGCCTCAGCCCCACGAAGGACTGCTCCACAGAGCTGGCGGTCAGGACCTGCCTCTTGGCCGCGGCCTTCTCGCCCAGGAAGCGAAGCATCAGGTCTTTCACGGCATCTCCCTGGGAAGAAGGTGACAGTGTTATCAACTTTGCCAGAAGTAGGAATGATAGGAGACTCTTCACTGGGGAGAAATGGTAAGTCAGCACCTGGATCCAGACTTGTGGCAGGAGGTGAAGCCAGGCTTGAGAAGCTTCCACTGATTTGCTCTGGAGGCTCCCCACAGCATCAGGTGACCTCTGGGGGTCGAGTGGCTTGCTACCGGGAAGAGCACTGTACAAAGGCCTGAATGAAGCATGGCCCAGGTCATACCTACCTGATCCCCAGCAGGCCAGGTTCTCCACTGCAGGCAGCCCGGGCAGGCTGAAGGAGCGGTCACCTTCCTCCACATCAGGTCCCACCAAGTCTCCAGCCCTGCACTTTGTCACATGCGTTCCCCTCTGCACTGGGCCATCCTTATCTGCTGACCTGACTCCTTGTGTCATACCTACCTGGGGTGGTACGCCATGTGTCACTTACATCAGAGAGAAGCCATGAAAGGGCAAGGGGAGGCAGGAAGGGTGCATTTGTGAGGCCCAGGAGAGATACACCAGACCTGGGATGACCAGGGACCACCTCGAAGCAGGAGAAGCACTTGGGTGGACCACAGCAGGAAGCCCAGGAGATGAGTGCCTGTGAGCCTGCACAGTTCCCTGCAGCCACAGGAGAAGGCCAAGCACTCTGAGCTGGAAGTTGCCAGGTCAGATGCCACATGGGACATGCTATCACCATGCACAGGTCTTGGTGCCGGGGGTGGGGAGCCCGGCTAGCCTGCTCACTCCTATCCCTAACACTCTTATGGTCGGTACCCACCAGGGTCCAAAGCCACAACTGCAGCCACCTCAAGTACAAGTCACAGGAGTCCAAGACAAACAGCAGCAACAGGACAGAGCTCTGGACAGCCCCTTTCCCTTCTGTGGCCTTGGTGGAGGTGTTGATGGTGGGAGCAACCATTCTGAGCTCCCTGAAATGCCCTGAGACCACCACAACCTGAGGTGCCCCACATCACACATGCTCTGGGGATCCAGTGGGCCAGGTGCTGACCCAGGGCAGCTTCGAAGTTGCTGACAAAGGTACACAGTGCAAAGGTCCCCAAAGTCTGCGAGTGACTGAAGAGAGAAAGCAAAACTGGCCACTATCAGGAGGGTGACAGAGGCTGGATCCCCTTATGTCAGGAACCTGTGTCCTGTGTGAACTGCACCTTCTGAGCCTGGCAGAGACAAGCCAGGCTCTGCATCTCCCACACAGAGCCACAGATCTGTGTGTGGGCTACGATTTTGTAATTTCTGCTTTCAGAGAGAAGATACGTCAGGTATCAGAGCCACAAAAGCAGTCAAGCAACTGAGGAGCTGGTAAGTAAAGGACAAATACAAAAGGCCCAGACGTAGGGTTTCTTAAAGCTTCACAAAAATGCAACTTGTATTAGACAAAGAACATTACTGCAGCTGCAGGCCCAGCAATCCAGGCAAAGAGCAAAATCACATCGTGATGCTGAGGAGGGAGGACCAATTAATTTGGATTCTTCTGTCCTAATGCCATCTTTGATCAATGAAACCACGCTGATGAAGCTTTTGTTAAATTTCTGTTAGGCAACATTTTAGCCACCATGGGATGTGCAGGGGGTAGGAGTGTTTGTACAATGACCAATGTCTCACCTAGGAAAGCCTGAAGATGTGGCCATACATCTTAAAGACATACTCATGCTCTGTCACTGGACAGCAGTAGTGGTGACATGTGGCTCAAGGGACTGCATACTCTACATCCCTGTGGCTACAGGAGTGATGACAGGAAGCTTTCCCCAGTGTTATGAATGTCCCCAAAAGCCTCATGTGCCCAGAGGTGAGACTTTGGGAAGGAGACTGGATCAAAGCAGGCACTACACTCACAAGTGGGTAAGTCCACAGAGGGTTCCACAGCGGACTTGTACTCAGGAGGCAAGGCCCAGAGGCAAGCGACCTGGAAGGCTATGTCTCTTGCCCTCTTCCTTCTCTGCTTCCTATCCCCATGCTGCGAGCAGCTCTCCTCAGGCCAGTGCCACCCTGCCTTGGAGCCAGCTGACCATAGACTGAACCTCTATAAACACTGATCCAAAATAGGGCTGGTGAGGGGCCGGGGAGATGGCTCAGTAGGATAAGCGCTTGACTGGCAAACACAAGGATCTGAGTTCAATCCCCGGTTCCGCAAAAAAAACAAAAAAAAACAAAAAAAAAAAAAAACAAAATAGGGCTGGTGAGATGGCTCAGTGGTCTAAAGCACCTACTTAGAACAAGCTTAGCAAAGCACAAGGACAGCCCTGCCCCCTGGTGGGCTGAGCTGGCCACACACACACACACACACATACATAAATAAAAATTAAAAAACAAAACAAAATAAACCTCTCCTCCTTTAAGCTGTGGATGTCGGGTACTGTGTGCAATGAGGAGAGAGTGGGTCAGACAGACTTTGGTACCAGAGAAGTAGGTGTCACTGCTGTGCTGTTACCCTGGCCATGTGGTTCAGGGGCTTTGCACCTGGCTTGTGGGCAGAATTTTTTTT